TATTGTTAAGACTGTGAATTAAAGCTGATAATTTTTTAACAAAAATGTCAATACTTGCTATGCATTCAGAATAACAATAACATGAAATCCTCATGTTGGTATCACCAAGCCCTGGACACTACGGCCGGTTATTAAAGCCATGGCAGGTAGTGATTCTATTTTTTTTGGGTGGCTGTGGCTCAGACAGACGTCAGGTTTTAGCTCTGAAGTGTGACGAGCATTTGATATTGAAGGAAGCTACAGTAGCTCTCCATGGTGCTGAAATCAGTAAATTCTCAGTAAACCTGCTGTAAACTGAAGACCTTGGTCAAGGATCTCCTCCAGGATTAAATATAAACCAAACAACACTTCCTGTTCAGAAGGGTTCAAATTAACAGATGTGCCTCTGAAGCACTGATGGACAGAAGGGCAGCTGTGGCTGTGGGAGTTTTATTGATCGCACAACAAGCAGTTAGATCCCAAATTGCTCAGTTGTGTTACTAATGAGCACTCTACACACACATCAAGATATCATCGATGTGTGAAAACAATAGTTGTGGATTGACATGTGTAATATGTGACCAGTGTGCGCTGGCTGACCTTTTCCTTTTTGTGTTCATGTGACAACTTTAAACACAAGTGTCCACAAACGTCATACTCTCTCAATGTTAGACATGATGCTGATAATGACTGCAAATTAACAAATTATTATTATTATGTCCATTATCACTTGTATGATGGTGTTTCTTAACAAATTATTATATTTGTTCCATGTTGAACCTTCTTAAGAGAAGCAATGCTCTTTAAGCTTCTTTGCTCAACATTTACACATTTTTGTTTTGTATTCAAGTTCTTGCTATATGTCTGACAAGTCTGTGTATAAACTACACAGACATGTCATAGACACACAAACCAACTCACTAACACTGAATTTACTGCCACCTGCAGTGGGTGAATTAAGTCCTCTAGGGGGTCAATTCACCGCCAGGGATTGTGGTCCAAACTGAATCACTTAGTCTGTATCTTAAGGGAACAGGGGAAAATTGCAGAGAAATCCCATGGGATTTGGTCTGTGAATAGAGACCCAGCCTTCAATACTTCATAGCGTCATACCCTCCCTTCCTTTTTTAATAGAAGTTTCCTATCTGGAACATAGTCTATCAATAAATATGGCAATGCAATTTTGCTGTACATACATAAAGGCAGTTTATGATCCACAAAGTGAAAACAAATTCCAGCAATCAATATTTACTCATCTCAGAGCAGTTAATTTCAATCTTGTTGTGCAGAGAGTTTTTAGTATACACATACAATAACAGGGACTAGGTCAAACCTAGTATACGGCTGCACTGTGAATGGTCACAGGACGTAGTTGAAGACTGTTCTGGAATTTCAATTAGCACATTAATGAAATTTGCTAATTGGTTTCAGCCCGTTATCTGTTTCCACATTCCCTCGATCAGACATTATAGGAAGCTGGCAGTTTGTATAATGTCTGATTAAACTGGTTGGAACGTCATACAGCTCCTCCAGGTAATGTATGGAAGAGTTCAGCGTTGCTGTGCATACAAACAGCCTTTGTCTGCCACTAAGTGCATGGCCTTCATGTGGATAACAAACTGTCGCCCCTCGGCCAATCAGTGAACTGAGTAGATGCCAAGAGATGTGTCTCAGGGGGAGGCTGGTGACTGTCTTCTGCTGAAAGTAGATAATTTCGTCCAAGAAGTCCCAAGGTGCCGTTTTGAGTAAAACAAAGGTACTGAAGGGGTCTGAAAAGTCAGTTAATCTAGAGACAGATGTGCTAAGTTGGCAAAACTGCCTGTATATGCCCTGTGAATGTAATAGAAACTGTTCGCACCAATGCATTTTGAAACACCAAATGGCCAGTGGGGAAATTCGGCTTCTCGAACAATTGTGCTACCTAATCACAATCTCAACTCAACCACACACACATGACCACAGTCATGAACACTCAGGGATGTAGTACTGAAAAATACAACTTTATTTTCACGTGTATGCACAGTATTTGTTTCGTGTTACTCCAGAGTGCTGGTTGATCAGTGCATATGTAAGGGGATGAGCTTTGCACTCCTGACCTGACAAGACGTGACCGGCCATCATCACAAATCTGTGTGTCTGTCAGCCCCTCAGACCACCTCTGATAAGTCCATCCATCACGTACCGTTACAAGAGCACTCAATAACCTTCCATCTATCCTTCCCAGACTTTATTAATATAACCCGCAGAGACCCGGCCATCCTGTGATGGGATGTGACAACCCTGACCGAGGACTGACCTGCCCACCTGACCTGTTTGCGTGTATATGTGTGTGTGCACGCGTGTAAAGGGTTTGTGCATTCACCTTTGTTTTGTTAATATGTGAGGACACACATGTACAGCATCCTCATAGTGGCATTTGAGTGTGGGAGCAAGTGGAGAGAAAAACAACTCATAGGTGCACAACTCATATTGTAGGTGCACATCTGTTGAGTAAATATCTCATCCTCCATTATACTTCCTTTCTCTATTTATCCTTCTTCTTCCTTTCTGAGACATTTACCTCCACCTTGTTTTTCGCCACCTTCCCTGTCTGCATTCATCCAGGCGGGAGGGAGAGAAATGATATCTAACCTCACTTATCACATGCACACACACACGTGCATGCGCAGCCTCACACCACTTATTAGAGCTTTCTCTTTCTTTAATGTGCGCGAGCCCGGCTTTATCTCTGTGCCACGTATAATGGCTCAGAGATGGTATCATCAGAGACGGACCAGCTCGACTAAATGGGTGCGGCAAATTGACTGTAGTATTCGGTGAGAGGGGCCTCTATCTGGCAATCTGATAGGATCCCATTAAAGAAGGCTTGCAGATGAATATGATTACCTTTTAATTCCTCCTAATGGAAACATCTTCTGAAGAGGGGAGGAGATGAAATGTTTTGTAGTGATAGCGCCTTTGTACCACTGATAGCATTGTTATTGCCTAATTTGGGTAGAAAGGCCATTAAAGTTCTTGGAAGAGACGATGGATGCTCTCTGTGAGTAGCCTCTCAGTTATGGCAATGGACCAGCGGTTCACTGTGTGTGGGCAGTGCTTTGTTTTATTGATGCAAAAACCACTCTTCACTTAAATGGCCTCATATTGGGATCGTATTTGCTGAAATGTTTGACTAATGAGGAAGAGGTTTCATCTTTTGTTGCAACTCCTTTTCCAATGATCTGAATGAGAGTGTGTGTGTCTGTGTGTGTGTGTGTGTGTGTGTTGGTGGTTCATGCGTATGTGCATTTTACTATTGTGCGTTTTTACCATTTCCAATGGACTGTGACAGAAGTGCTTAATTAGATTATGAAGCCACTATCGTGACAACTTCTTAAGCAGATTATTGTTCATTTATGCAGAGCCTCAGAGGGGCTGTGCGCCAAGTCTTCAAATAACAATCAGTGCGTCTCTCTGTGATCTGTCAAAGTGAATGAATTTGATGAGCAATGTGTTTCTTGATATATACAAGAATCTGCATACTTGAAATATATTTCAGGCATTGATAGCGTTCCTCTTGCTGTTCAATGTCATTACTACTCAAACAGCCTTATTTCACTGCTGTGAAACATGCTGCTTAAAAAGGACCCAAAGTAACATAGCAACACTAACATTTATGAAGTTTTGGGTTTGTATATATTCAATATTAATATATATGATGTGAGTTTACACCTCCACATGTGCAACATATCAGTTGTGTATCCCTGCATGTGCATGGGAGTCAGTTGTTGCCTATACACGCGTGCCTGGCAGCAGTAACATGTTGATTGACTAGATCTGTGCTCTGCCAAGTCCATAGGGGCCTATAATATACATTACAGATGCATCAGGGGGTCCAATGCCAAATGCTGCTCCGTCCTTGTGTTGTTAGTATTCATGTGAAAATGTGCTGTTCCATCTGTCACGTACTGGGGTTGCCACATTTAAGAGGGATCGATGGAAAAGTGGAATATTCAGAAAAAAATGCACAGAAATCTGAGATCAGACATGTTCTTCCATTTGTTAGTGTATATAAATGTCTGTGGTGGATGAAATCTTCTGATAGTTTAAAAAGAATCATACCTATTTGCATAATTGTGTTTACATACAGTTTTTACAGCTAAATCAAGCTAACAATTCCAAATATCTGTCTTTATTCCTGTTTGCACTTTTCACAAATCCTCGGAAATGTATAGGAAGGACAGAAAGACAGAGGTTTCTGTATGTAATAGCAGAATGTATAATGCTGGATGGCTTAAAACTATTTGTCTCAGGCTTATTTGCAGTCCGACTTTGAATCGGTTCTAATAAATTCAGTCGAACTTCTTATTTAGCTGGAAAACAAGAACAAATTACTTGCTCTTTTTACTCATGAATAGCAAATGAACACCATTAGATATAAAGGTTGCTTTTCTAACTTAAGTCACGCTCTTTTAGCTTTTGAAGTTGTTCTCATATGTCTCCTGTCTTTTGTCCTCCCACTGTTGATTCCTACAGTGCTCCTTCTTCCTTGGGAATAAAAAAGGGATTTCTAATATTGTTACTGTAATTGCGTTGTCTGTCTTTGAGCTGGAGATGGGATTGCTTTTGACTTGCAAATATTTCAGATCGAATTGGGCTAAATGGCTTTTGGGAAATGTGCCTGGCATTCAACATATCTTCCTCTTCTCCTCGCTAAAGGTTAATAGTATATCTACTCTCAGTGAATGAGTCTGTGGACTTTACTGTTCCATTCAGACAGAGAGAGGGATTGGTAGCAGCCTCTCTTTTTTCCCTCTTGGGGTGGGATGGGGTTCACAGGTCAAGCTTAACCCTGGTGGGGATGAACTCGTGCAGCATAGAGAAGCCTAAAAAAAGAAACATGAAAGCCTCGTACAAGAAGAGTGAATGGGCAGGAAGTTGGGCTGGTGGTGTGTGTGTTTCTACAAGGATGAGCTACCACTGGCAGATTTGAAAGACGATGATTAAATTTGTTCTCTCTTTCTTCCTTTCACCCCCTGCAGGTACGGAGACATGGTCCCTAAGACGATTGCAGGGAAGATCTTTGGTTCGATCTGCTCCCTGAGTGGGGTGTTGGTAATCGCCCTGCCTGTCCCCGTCATCGTGTCCAACTTTAGTCGCATCTATCACCAAAACCAGAGAGCAGACAAGCGGCGGGCACAGAAAGTACAGGTGAACACATTTTAATTTACCTTCACATGGGCCCAAGAGGGTCGGACCTACAGCCCAGAAGGGAGCTCTGACGTTTGTCTCCCCCAGACGGAGGGACTCCACTGGGTTCATATCTTCCTTGAGACTAATGATGATGTGTGTGCAATGCATATTCACTTACAGTACATTCCCATTAACAGGATGTGCATTATACATATTCAATGAGTATCATCACATTTTAATGGCCCTCGTCCCTTGACATGCATACCTAAACCTTGACCTTTTCACTGTGTGCTGCATTAATCATCATTTAGAGGAATACTTGCTCTTTACTCTGACAACAATGATGTGTTGCTTGAATTTGCCTCAGTTTGCAGCCTAAGGTTTTATTCTATAAAGCTCAATGATTTAGTTTCAATAAGATAAAGAGGCAGAAAATAAAAAAATTCTCAAGATATTGATGTCTGATCTACTTTAGGAACATCCATCTGCCAAGGCCCAACAGTCTTAAGATCAATCATTTCATACACTCATAGATTTTAATCTCTTTAATGGGCCTGATTTGTTTTATCCATGAATTATTCCCTGGCAAATCAATGAAAATGTTGAAAGAGATTCCTCGCAAAATTAAATTAATCACAGGATCAGTCATTCCTGGATCCACCCCCTGATCGGAATCCCATCAAGATTGAAAGACTTCTTCCCTGACCCATACTGCTTCCACCAAGTTTATTAAAATTGGCTCTGTTGTTATGGTCTTACTTACAAACAAACATATGAACCAGACGGGTGAAAACAACCTCCTTGGTAATAAATTCAGACAAACAAATATTAAACATTCATCTTAACAAAGAAAGGAGATTATTTACAACATTGCATTCAAATTTAAAGGTCAAAGACTTTGTTCATGGGATTTTGGTAAGAAAAACAACATCCTTTATAAATGATTTGTGGGTCGATGAAAATTGCTCTGATTGTAATAATTCACCAACGAATGATTTACAGATCAGCTTTAAGTCATAAAGGTCTTCTTATAGAAAAACCTCTGGAGAATCTGGAAGAAGTTCTATTCATCAATAACTCATAAACATTGGATTATTGGTTTATTAACTCAAAAATATTTACCAACAAATTGAAAGGAAGAACACAAGCCAAATGGACTTTATAAAAATCTGACTTTCCCTTAACTTATTATTCATAACACACAATTTAAAGCTTATATAAAATATCAGGATGTTGATGTCTCTGCACTAGTGACAGATTTCGGGAGACTTCAAGTTTCTGATTTATCTTTCTTCAAATTAGGCATGAATGTTCACTTGGACTCAGATTTTTGTGGTCAAAGGTCAGTGTGACCTCACACCCATTCTTGTGAATGTGCATCAGGAACGTCTTGAGGGAAACAAACAATTGGTCAAGGTCATTGTGACCTCACAAAGCATGGTTTTGACAACAACTCAAGAATTCCTCTTTGAATCATGACACAGTTTCACACAAATGTTGAATGTGGTGAAAGTGGTGATGTTTCCAAAAGGTCAAGGGTCAAATTTACTTCGACATTCTAACATTCAGCAAAACATTTTCTGGCTTCAGACTTCATCATCATCTCCACAGCGCAGGAACAAATTCTGACAAAACATTGAGGAGAAAAATCTTTAAAGACACTAAAATATAAACTATATTGTGTCAATCAGCTTCTTACTATGAGTAAAGAGGTTTTACGTAACATGAACTATCTGATATTTATAGTTATTTTTAATTTTACGAGTTGTTATCTAATTGATTTAAATTGAGTAGGACTCATAAAAACATTTATACTGTTCCCCCAAAAATGCAGGAGCGAGATAAGGTAACAAAAGTGTCCTTTAGTAAAAGACAAGGTTCTTACAAAACACAAAGTCAAACAATCCACAAACAGAAAACCGCTGGGAGAAAAACAATAGGATTGTAAAAAGAGCTGAACTGAAAAAACATGGAAAACACAAAGACTCATGAGCAAAGGATCTGAAAGTGAATGATGTAAGACGACTGACTGACAAAGACAAAAGGAAGCACAGGGACTTATATACACCACAAGGGAGGGGGGGTTGATTGAACACAGGTGAAACACATGAGAAACAGGTGCAGACGATCACAGGGGCAGGAAACGGGACAACCACAGGAAGTTAAGCCAGAGACACATGAGGAGTAGAAACCTCAAAATAAAACAGGAAATAGAACTCAGAGTGAAACAACTGAACACAAACCTAAACATAAAGGAAACACAGGAAAAGTCACTAAACAAAGAGAACATCAAACGAAAAATCCAAAAACTCTTGATCTCAGAGTCAGCGAGTTAAAGTCTAGAGTCATGACACATTTTAAAAATCAAATATGAACAGGCAACAGTACCAGAGAAACCGATTAGCAGATCTTTGAATGTTCATTATTCACTTAAAATATTTTAGTTCGTCCAAACCACAGTATCTCAACTCCTCCTTCAACTCCAGAGCTGCTAGGATTTTTGGATTAGACCGGACTCACCCTGAAATGCCTGTCACAAGAATTCAAAATGAGCAGCATTTCCTCTCTTCACACGATTTTCTCCTTTGGTTTGTTCTTGTGAGGAGATTTTCCTCTAAGTATAAAAACCCACACGGGCACAAATGCACCGATGGATTATGTAAACTTATGTTTTATCTGTGGACGGTGTAAAGATCTTATCTTCCTTTAGGTAAATAGTTCCGCTTTTACAGACCTTGACACAGGGAGCACTTAAAGGACTTAAAGGTACAGTGTGTAGAATTTTATGATATCTAGTTTGTCCAGTCTGGACTAATGTAAAAAACATGGCGGCCTCCGTAGAGAGGACTCCCTCGATGTAAATATAAGGTATTTAAATATAAATAGCCTTTTCTGGGGTAAAGAAAACTACAATTCATACAATTTAGATGAAACGAACTAGTGAAAACATCATGAGGATTATTCTACATTAAATTTCTACCAATAGTTCCCTTTCACCTAAATCTTACACACTGGACCTTTAACACCACTAGATGTGTCTCAACATTCAACATGATTGGCTGATTTCATGTGTGTGTTGCAGTTTTTACGTGTGAGGACAGTGTCCGGCGTCACCTATCACTGTCGCTCAGGGAAATNAGCAATAAATAAACCTCCAACCTCTCCAGGCAAAGATCAGTTTGTTCTGACATGTTAAAGCATCTAGGGCATGAATTATACTTTAAACTGCTGCATAAACAATATGAACACCTCTGCAGTTTCCTAAATGTAATTTACTCGTGGTTGTGGGTGACGCAGCGTGTGACCGGTGTGCATTTAAAGAATCCTGCAGTTTAGAGGGGGAGAGTTTAACACAGGTTATTTTCTGCAGCTGCAATTCACAGAAACAAATAGGCTGTCGGGTTTTGTGCCACAATTTATCAGCGTTCCCTTCGGTGAGTTCTCATCTACGTGGGCGGGCCACACAAGTACAGAATATATGGGAAACTTTGACCTCTAGAAAAAGTGCTTAGTTCTCACTAACCACAACCACAACAAATGTTTTCAGCTGCATTTGGATGGTGATCATGGATTATAATTACAACTAGATTACTTAATTACTAGATATACAGTAAACCTACATATACAACCAATATTGGCAACACCTCTATCATAACAATTGTCATTACTGCTTCCTTCTTCCCTTGACTGATTGATTGATGAATTCTAGCCGCTCTGAGCTTCTGTGCACAGCAGGACTGAATCACATTGTCGAGTTGATCCGATTATTTTTAATATCAACATTAGGAGCCGTGATCACATCATTGTTGTTGTTGTTGGGTTGTCAACTTTTTTGTGGCAGGAAAAAAATATATAAAATCTTTTTATTCTCACACATGCTCCTAAATACATTTTACAGTTTGTCAGCTGCAAGTGCGAGTACAACGCTCACACTGTGGAGCCCTGCTTCAGACATCAGCAGCCACACACACAACTCTGGGCTGGTGTGAGGGCAGGCCAGTTTGTAGTGTGTTTGTTTGGACCCAGCAGACATGCACACACTGACACATATTTTCAGAGACTGTTGCCAGCCCTCATCGCTCTTGTTCGCACCTCCCCTAGTAGAGCTTTTTCTCACTCCTTGAGCTCATTTCTTCTCCTCTGCTCCGTCTCCATCCACCCTTTCCCAACCTGCTCTCCTCCTCTCCCGTTCTCCCCCTCCCCATCTCACCCTCTCTGTGATTACTGCCATCCATCTCTGCACATGCTCGCTGGTTGTAGTTTAAATCTGTTTAAAGCCCTGCAGTTCGACCGTGGCCTGACCACCACCCAGTCTTAACTAACCGTAACCTTGTCTGCCGAGAAAGACTCCGGCGTAACGGAGCCAAGTGTGTGGCGAGGAAATGGTAAGGGAAGGGGGCGTGTTTGGTGGAGGATGGTAGACAGGAGGGAAAGTGTTGGCAAGTTAGGGAAATTATCTGGATTGAAAACAGGTTGGAAACCGATGAGATTCATGTACTGTTGACGCAGAAAAGAGAGAGGAGTGGAGTGGTGACAAGGAAGGCCAGAAGGAAGGAGGGAACAGGGGAGGCAAAGGGGAGAGAAAGGGAGGGAGAGCTGGAGGCAAAGTGTGTCCTAATGCTGTGTCCTTTCCTGAAATAGCCATCTCCGAGATGAGGTGCTGCTGTTTGTGTGGGGTTAAACACACGTATGAATCCACCACACTTCCTGGCAGTTTCGGCCTGATCGTAGTTTGTTCAACCTTCACTCGCTGCAGCGTCCCACGCGGCGCTCTGTACCAGACGTGCACACCTCCAGGAGCGCCAACTAACTGGCCAGCGTAGCATGACAGTGCTGTCGTCATTAACTAGCACTGAATGACTCCCTCAGGCACTTGAAAGCCTCCCTGGTTTGCCCGGCGGTGAGGTCAGCTATTTGCTCAAGCACCCATACATCCAGCGGATAGATTTTTTCCCTTTTTACAACAGCATGACTCAAAGACTTTATTACTGCCTTCATAGTGATATTCCACCTGGATA